ACATGGTGTATTTATGTACGGTATTCGACCTGGTTATGCTGTTCTAGTGGTGGTGGTGGTGGGGGCACGAATGACTAATCATTATTGGCTAACGACGAAAGCAATAATATTTAAAATATATCTAGATGATCAATAAACGCACGTGTAGCAGTCCTTTCCGTAATGCTTACAAAAGGTCATTCAGAAGGAACCTGATTGATGAGGATGACTAAAACACATGACTGTGGAAGGAAGGGGCTGGATCCACACATGTTTACCCTGCAATCGTATCGTGTAATGACGATGTCCCATAACCCGGTAAATGGATTCGGTTCTCGGAAACAAAGGAGTCGATTCATTAAAAGAGGTTAATGTCCATCTTCAAAGGTTTAAACGTATCTACAGCACAGCTTTAGCACTGCCACTGGTGTGGTGACCATGGCGACCTATACCAGAGATTGGAAGCAACCTCTCAACAAACGGTTAGCACACATGGTGAGCGAGCAAGGAGCTGAATCAGATCTGCGGGATTAAAATGCTAATTCACCTATTACGGTCGTCACCAGTGTGCCAGACTTGGGAGCCACGTTACCTCGCAGGATGGATTGTTATATAAAACGTGAAAAGTGGTCTTTTTGTTCCAAACTGACTTGTTTTGAGGATCTTCAACCTGGCACAATGTTTATGAGCACTAAGCAGTAAAGGCTCGCTGGTTACATTTCTTCAGGCAAAGCTAACTCCGCCATTCCAAGAGGAACTATCAGCGAGCTAACTTTACTATGACTGCTGTAAAAGTAATCTTGAATGCATTCCCACCAATTCATCTGTCAGATGAAGGTGGCTAGGAAATTTCACCCTTTGAAGTCTACGAGGCTACTGTATTTCAACAAACAAGGTTGCATCTTTAGTACAATGTATGATCGACGTTTTCCTAACCATCTCTCTGGAGATGTACCTGAAGCAAATGAACGCTTATGTATTACGATGTTATTTTAAAAAATCCTGAAATGTGAAATAAGACCAGTAAATACCTGCAGTAGAAATATTTTAAAAATACACAAGGCGAAAATGAAATCTAGGAAAAACCTATTGTTCCAAGTTTGTCGAAATAGAATTCTAGGCAAGAAGTGTATTAAATAACAGTCGGTTGTAAATTGAACGTAAATGCTTTCAGAGAATTGAACTATTGAATATTAATCCATTATATGAGAAATTGAAGGCCTCAAAATAATTATAAGTAAAAGGGCTACAGGCCCAGACCTAGTATGCTGTTCTGTAAATTACCTTTTATTCGAGTTATTTTAATTTCCAATCACCTGCCCCCCTCCTTTATGGCTGTTTAAATTATTTGCACGTTTCCCCTTTGAATTTTACACATGCGACACATCCAGCAGAAAAATATCTTGAAAATGGAGCAAAACACTTCTATAATAGGCCCGGTTGACGTTCTTATAGAGCAGTGTTACTTCAATTTGCACCAGTTGCTAACTGCAGCTGCAGTATATCATTCAATAAAAAGGTTTTCACAAAACTTTTATGCCAACAAAACCATCGTCACGGATCTACGAAGAAAGAGTTCGAGAGACAAACTTGAAAGAGTATCAGCGGTAACATTCACAAGTTTAAGATCATCTCTGTATGACAATTTCACGATTCAGTCGTTCGCTTCCAAAAATCAGAATTTCATTGCAACTTAAACTTCCAACATTTGCTGAAATGTCGACACTTTGGATGATAGCCTCCAGTTCTCCAGCAACCAAGTGAACTACAAGCCACCAGCTCTACAGTACTTGAAATAGTACACAAGGTTGCTAGCTTTCGATTGCGATTTCAGTAAACAAGGCAAACCCTAAACTTAATAGACAATTATTGCTTACATTGATTTCTTGGTTTAAGGTTCCGAACGTTTCAAAATCAAATATTTCAAACTACTCAAGGTCAGCTGAAAGAGAGTGTGTTCTGCTACCGTCTTATTCATTAGTTGCTAACTCTCAAGCATGGCCCAAACCGCTTACTTTTAATTTATCAACGCAAAGACTGCCTGTCTGCTCATTACAAAAAAAGGCAATCCATGGTGAATCAAACAACTGTCAACAGAACTCTCATCCCGAATTTCACATCGTTTTTAATGTTTTTTCACGTATGGCTTCTGGGTATTTTCTGAAAATAAAAACGTTCCTGGATCTTAGTAATCAAAGGCATTTCTGAAACCATACAGTCATCTTCCTTGATTCTGTATTGATTAATATGCTCAGTCTTTTTAAATAATGGATTGATTACTATTAACGTGCATTCATCACTATTGAACGTGGGCTTCACTTTAATATGGATTCATCTGAAAGTTTGACATAGTTAAGAAAAACGCCTAATGGTCTTAAATAAAATATATATCATTCCTTTTCAACTAGAATATTTAGCAACATGGTCTAATCTCGGTGATAGCATTTTAAAATTCCATATGATAAGTGGTTGTTAATGCATCGACAGAAGTTACTTTCGGTAGTTGATCTGAGCTAACTGATGCCATGGGGAGGAGAAGGCTAAATTATCTGTGGAAACGTGTTGGGAATTAAAACATTTGCTGTGGGGTGGAACTTTACATTGTTTTTTTTAAATCCATTAACCAAGCTATGTTTGTTCTACTGGTAGGACAGTCTAAGGACGATATGTGCGTAAAAACATGGAAATGAAGCCAAAAAGTAACAGGAAAACAATCAATGGAATTGCAAAAAACGTAACATTTTAACCCGTCGTCACTAAATGTAAAAAGTACGTTTATCTTTTAAGGAGATGGTTTAAAAGCGAGTGTAGACCAACTACGAAGCTGCTGGGATCGGTTTTAATCATCAACCACCTTCAATGCAGCCAACAGTTCACCCCCGAGATGCCTTCCAATGTCTGTCCATTGGCGTTCGGAGAATATGCTGTGTGCTTTTGGGGGGGGTGGGCACGAAAGAGTTAAATAATTAAACACGACCCACCTTCCTCACACCTCCTGAACACCGAGGATTGACCAGGTTAAAGCTCTCGGCTCTTCGTCTGTCAATTTCGGAGTCTTCTCCCCTGCAAACGATAATGCCGCGCAGTGAGCAGTGACTACAAGGAGATCACTTTAAAACAAAGTTAATGCCGATTATTAAAATCCGGGATAGGGCAGAACCGCACGTACTGTATACATATATATGCACACATATATATGTGTCAATGGTACCTCTGGTACATTTCTTTCCTGTCTTGCGATTGCATCCACGGATACAATTCAACAGCTCATCACCGCACGCGCTGCAAAAAATGAAGCCTGAAACTCACTTGGCGATGGTCTTGTTGCGATCCTCTTCGCTGCCGATGCGCTCTCCGGGCATCGCACGCGAATCGCCATGCATCTCCCTCCAGGCGTATTTTTCTTTGGTTTTTGCCATGTGTTGGGAGATTGCAACGATTCTCCGAATGGAAGTCGAATGACCCCCTCCCCCCCCCCCCCACCTTTTCACGCTATCCAACGAGGTTCCTGGTTCATTCTCTTTTAAAGTTTAAAAAGAAACACACACACACACACACACACACTGGGGAAACGTGTAGAAACGCGAGTCCCTTACACCAGGAACAGCAGCAGCAGCATAATGATGATGATGATGATGATGGGTCTTCTCTGCTTTCACTCCTATGAAGAGACAGGAACCGAGGGAGACGAGGGAGTCTTTCTCTTTCCTTTTGGGGGGGGGGGGGGGGGAAAGCGAAATTTTTTTTTTTGCTTCGGCAAAAATGCAAATCCTCCAACTTAAACCGTTTCCTTTCGGGTTTTTTTTTGTGTGTGTGTGGAGCTAAAAAAAAACCTCACGAGGTTCATTACACATTCGGAATCTCTCTCTGTCTCTCTGTCTGTCTGTCTGTCTGTCTCCCGGCGATGTTACGCGCTGTAGGTGGGTGTCATGTTAAAAAAAAAACAAATCCAGTTCTTAGTGGTCAGTGTCCCTTTTTGTAAAGTTCTTAACCTTTTTTTTTAAAAAAAAAGAAATATAAATATCAAACGTTCACATCAATCCAGCGGCGAGTGGAGGAAATGCACTGACTGCCTCAGCACTTGCTCTCTGCCTGGGTTCAGGTCAAGCTTTCGTCTTCCTTTTTTTTTCCCAATTCCCTCTCTCCCTCTCAGTGTGTGTGTGTGTGTATGTTTGTGTGTTTGGATACTTTCAAAGTTGTGGTCGAGATAAACAAAAATAATAACAACAACAACAGAGATGGAGGAGCAGTAACTACTGGCCAAGGGCGGCGTGTGTGTTAAAAAAAAAGGTGGTGGGGGGGGGGGTCGCTGGTTGAAGTGTGCGCATTGCCTTGCGGGCGCCCCTCGCCTCCTCCTCCTGCACCACTTTGCGCCGCGCTGATGCGAGGCGGCCGGAGCCGGACCTCACAGCTCGTCAGGCGCCAAACACGGGTTAAAAACACACACATTCCCCCATCACGTGTGACACCCTTCAACTATAATTTAGCATTTATGCTTTTTTTGTTGTTGCCGCTGTTATTGATTGTCTTCCTGGTGGTGTTTATTCCTTGATTGATTGGTTGATTGATTGATTGATTGGTTGATTGATTGATTGGTTGATTGAGTCCGTTCCTGGGTCTGTGCTGTTGGCACCTGATTATGTTCAACGTGTTGTGGCGTATATGCGCGCGCACCCGACCCCCCCCCCCCCCCCCGCGGGCTCATCGATCCGCGCGCCGCCCCAACCCGACTGGGGCTCGTGATCAGCCGCTCGCGCTACTCGGGGCGGGACGAAGCTCCGAACGCTGTGCGGCCATTGGTTCATCGCGTCGGCGACGAGCGCGGCGTCGGCGGCTGTGTGGATGGTTGCGTCGAGGTGTCAATCAAGCTGCCCACCAACGGGCGGCCTGATGCTGACGGATTGCCCCGCCCGTACAGCGCCGCCCTCCTCGCTGACTGGTGGGGCGCGCTGTCACTCAGCGCCCCGGCTCGGCTGAGTTTGTGGTGGGAGCTGCCGCCTGTCGCCGGCCCCTGTAACCGCAGCGACTCCGGCGCTCCCGGCAGCCAGCACACGGAAGGAAGATGGCGGCTGCGGGGGTGCGAGTTTGCGGCCGCGGCGCTCTCCTCCTGTTCCTGGCCACCGCGGCCCTGACAACCGGTAAGCGCCACTACCAGAGACGCTCGGGCAGCTGCAAAAAAACGTCAGTTGTGCGCCGAGGCTGTGAAAATCGAGCTGCGCGGTCGCTGGGCCGCCTGCGTGAGGCTGTCGCATCAGCTGACGCCCGTCACCGCCCTGAGGGAAGCCGGTCTGACTGGAAAGGTCCCCTCGGTTTCCCACGGCGGTGACTTACTTGCGCGACAGAGGGAGCGGAGCCGCGCGGCGCTCGTGAGAGAGAAAAAAATACATAAAATGTATATTCTATGTGCACGTTCAACTGTTTTTTTTTGTTGCCGTTCGTCTTCGTCCGTCAGTGACTGCCGAAGATGATCATGTGATTTGTTTCTGGTTTTTTTCCCCCTAATATATTGGATTGAGGTTTTTTTTTAAAAAAATTGAAACCTCTCTATAAATGTCATTTTTTTTTTGCAAAAAAAACCCAACAACCACCACCTGCTCTGTGAGGGGGTCAACACCGACCCTTTACTCTTATTCGCCTGTTGGCTCTTCGTCTTTTATTCCTATCGGTACGAGTGAATGTTATGGCAACACCCCTTTATTTTCAGGATCGGGATTGCTGTTTGGGGACTTCTTCCATCTTTGACAGTTTAATGTCAACTCACAAAGGTGGCAGTTAACATCAGATTAACCCTTAAACCTGCCGAGAGGCGAATTGCTGGGATTGGCCCGAGAGCATTCAAAAAAAACATTAATTCAGAGTTTACTGAGTTACGGCGTAATTAAACTGGTTAGGTTTTCTGGAGTTAGAAATTCAGACTTCTCGAAAGGTTGAAACAAATGAGTGCAGATCTGTAGCAGCTCTTAAACTCCTACCTTTCCAGGTTTGGGGAGGTAATAAGATATCTTTAGTACAGTAAAATTCACATAAGTTGTATCAGTTGGGACCATAACATTTGATGACTTATGCAAAGTATGAGTTACGGCAAACTTGAATAAGTTGTATCATATCACTCGTACAAAGTTTTATCTGTAAGTTAGATTTTATATGACTAACACATAACAAATACACAAGTACTCTACTGGCTGATGACATTAAAGGATGGTTTCTGTACCTTGTTTAATCCTTGCATATTAAAGCTATGGTTGCCCATTCTTTCCATATACAGTACTGAACAATATATTTTTTACTGTAACTCTTGTGCAGAAAACATGTACTGTACATTGAATGGCACAACCAAACTGATTGCACACTGGTTTAGTGAGTGTGAGGGAGAGGCCAGGGAGGTTGAAGAGTTCAGATTTTCTGGAGTGTGAGAGATTAGAGGAATCGAGGGTGGGTTCCTCTAATCTCTCACACTCCAGAGAAACGGTGTGGATGGTCTGGGTGGGGTGGAAAGAGACACGGTAGGGGTGGGGGGAAGAGGACGATGCAGCCAAGTGGACGTTTTCAATTGAGGCGAAGAAGTCTAGCACCTCTTCACACTTGACGTTTGATGTGAGAATACAGGGGCCTTGAGGGCATGCACGGTGGAGGTGATGGACAGTGGAAAACAATGTCTTTGGATTGTTGTTTGCCTCCACGATGACATTGGAGCAAAAGTCAGTTTTGGTCTGTGAAAGGGAGAGGCAGTAGGTCCGGAGGTGCTGGAGCCACAGCTGGCGGTGAATCGTGAGGCTGGATTTCTGCCATCTGCGCTCGAGGTTTGGTAACAACCCTGGATTTCAGGGGAGCCAGGGAATTAAAGGTTGTGGAGAGACGGTCATTCAGCAGCTCGATAGCTGCATCAGGATCGCTGTGAGTGGAAGGCCAGAGGAAGAGGAGGTCCGAGAAAGAGAGGGCATTTGTGAGGGACTCGGGAGGGGTGGGGGGAGCCTTTTCCAGGGTGGGGAAAAAAAGGTGGAGGACTTGGAAAAGGGGAGGGGGCCGCGGGAGGAGAAGAAGATGAGGAAGTGGTCCGAGATGGCCTTGTCCGTGATACACAAATAGGAAATGTCAAGGCCATGTATGATGATGAGGTCGAGGGAGTGGCCATGGTGTGGTTCGGCGAGTTGATATGGAGGGTGAGGTTTAGGGAGGAGAGGAAGGCAGTGAAATCCAAGGAGGTGGTACAAGGGGAGTTAAGGTGGAGGTTGACATCAATCATGAGCCGGTGTGCAGTGCAGAGGGACACGGATGAGAGCAGAGAGGAGATATCAGTGAGGAAGGAGCCAGGAGGTTTGAGGGGGGAGCGGTAAACTAGGAGGATTTGGGGGGAGAGTAGAGGAGGGATGGTAGAGGGTGAGGTGTTCAAAGGAGGAGAAACAGCCAGAAGAGTAGGGGAATACACCAAGGGAAGCTTGGGAAATGAGGGCCACCCTGCCGCCACGTTGGTTGGGGCGGGGGGTGTGATGAAAAGTTAGCCAGGCGGGGAGGCTTCAATGATCGGGATGGGGTCACTGGGGAAATTGAACGGTAACCTGGGGGATGTATGACTTAGGTGATGATACACTATTACAGATCACACTTTTGTGAGCTTTACGGTATATTACAAATGCAGGTCAAATATGTGTATGGGGGTGTAGAGAGTTAAATCAGCTCTTTCCTGCAGAATATTGCATGTCTTCATGACTAAGCTTTTCTGTGGAATTCTGTTGGAAATTGATAATCTTACTTTACTTTAGCATAGTTTATCTTAATCTAGTTGGTGCAGATCAAGTAGGTTTCAGTGTGGATTTATCTGCTTTAAAATTCTGTTTTTGTAGTCAATCTGGATTTTCACCAACAAGATTATTCTTTAAATTTAGGTTGATAATACATTTGTACTGTACATTTTCTTGAGTATTTAAGGTTAATTTAAGAACGGGTTGCATTATATACTCCTTGAATTAATGTTTATCAACCTGATATTATGAGTCATACAATTTAAGTGTAATATTAGCTTTGCTTTAAAGTTGGTCTAGATATGACTTGATGTTATGTAGGTTGGTTCCAATTAGTTGGAATATGCACAAATATTATTTCATATACATTTCAATTAAAATGTAAATTGAGTGAGTTTGTTGTCCTGATTGTTAAAAAAAAATTATATTACAGTTATAAACAATTAACTACTGATTAGTGTTAAGAATTTAAAATATTTACAAATTTGTAATGTACATTGACTTGGGCATTTTTGGCCTAAAGATGAGAACTTGTGTGACCAAAAACCTTCCTCGTTATCACATATCCTAAGAAAATCAATGTTGTTTTATCATTGCATTCATCAGTGGTATACATGACTTTAGGAATTTTTGCAGCAAAGTATGGTTTGCTCAGTGGAGTGATTTGGGTCTTTGGTACTCTGCTACCGCATCCACATGATCATTCTTGTGTGGGCAGTTAGCAGGACATTTGACTGGGGGTATCACAGCAAAGCCAATTCTGTCTGAGCTTGATAATAATAATCCTTGCATTTGATATAGCGCTTCTCACGTCTTCTAAACGTCTCAAACCGCTTCACAGAATATACTGTAAAGTGAATTGACTGTATATTTGTGGGCAAAACGCGGCAGCCAATTGCGCACAGCAGTGTCCCATAAACAGTCGTGGATTGAAAATGACCAATTAATTATTGTTTTGTTTTTAAGGGATTATTATTAGGCGTGTGGAGTAAGGAAACTTGCCCAAGGTTTCACCCTGTCTGGAATTGAACTCAGGTCTGATCTGATCCTTGTCCAATATTCATACATGTCCACTTTTAATTTCCGATAAGAATCAGCAAAAAAATCAAACTTGTCCTCATCCCTCTTTCTCCCACCCCACCCCCTCCCCATACACAAATTTTAATGTTTGGGCTTCTTCACATTGGCTTGGTTTCGAAAGGTTGAGACGAGGATTTTATTATTTTTGTCTATTACCTTTCCGTCCCACTTTGATTCAACTCGTAGGCTTACCTTCAATTAATTTGGGAACTAAAATGTGAAATCGAATTGTACAGATGAGTGATGCTTACTAATTTTAGAAAGTGAAGAGTGAAAGAGTTCAAAATTGCAACCATTTGAATGCTTTTCTTTATTTGTTTAAAGGTGTCCTTGGTGACCGATTCAGCATATTGAGGGCCCCACAATATGTCAATTTCCAGAATGTTGCAGGACCTTTACCTATGGGCCGGATTCCAGATGTGTTGGCATTGTCTATGGGTTTTTCAGTTGAGGAGGTAACTGATGTTGCATGTTACTGTACAATGTAGAGAATTATTAATGACTTTCTCTATACAATGTAGAGAATTATTAATGACTTTCCAGTGACTTTACTGTTTATTCACTATTTGGTCGTCTTAAAATTTAATAAATCAACCATGATCATACCTGAGAGTATACTGAACTACACAAAATACCCTTTCTGGTTTAGTTGGTATTAAACTTCATAAGTGCCTTATAACTTATTGCTTGTCGGCCTCCCCAACTCCTCCCTCCACAGGCTGCAGATCATCCACAACTCTGCATTGCCAGACTCCGCCACTGCCTCACCCCTCAGGCTGCCGAAACCCTCACCCACGCATTTGTAACCTCAAGGCTTGATTACGGGAATTGCATCCTCATCGGCCTTCCCAACTCTTCCCTTCACAAGCTGCAGATCATCCAAAACTCTGCAGTTCGTGTGTTCTCATGCACCAGGCTCCGCGACCCCATCACTCCCACCCTCACCCGACTCCACTGCTCCCCATCACCCAGAGGATCGAGTTCAAGATCCTCGTCCTCACCTTTAAGGCCATCCATGGCCTTGCCCCCTCCTAACTCTATGACCTGCTGACTCCGTACCAACCTGCCCGCTCCCTCCATTCATCGGGCTCCGGCCTGGTCCATGTGTCCCGCCTGACCCGCCCTACCATCCGTGGCCGAGCTTTCAGCCTCTCTGCCCCCACACTCTGGAACTCTATCCCACGGTCCCTCGCCTTGCTTCCTCCCTTGCCTCCTTCAAGGCCGGTCTCAAGACTCTTCTCTTCAACTGTGCCTTTGGTCTCCCTCCCACCTCTCTGCCTTCCCTCACACCTACACCACCCTTCCCCAATGCTCAGGCCCCAAAACCTGACTGTTCAGCGCTTTGGGATGTCCTCCCGATGTGAAAGACGCTCTATCAATGTCATTTTGTTGTTGTTGTTGTTGCAGCCCGTGAGGTCTCCCGCACTGGGCTCCGCGACCCTATAACTCCCATCCTTGCCCAACTCCACTGGCTTCCCATCACACAGAGGATACAATTCAAGATCCTGGTCCTCACCTTCAAAGGCCTCCATGGTCTTGCTCCCCCCTACCTCTCCGACCTCCTAACCCTTTACCATCCTGTTCTCTCCCTCCTCTCAGCGGGGTACGGCCTGCTTTACGTCCCCTGCCTTGCTCGCCCCACTATTGGCAGGTGGGCCTTTCGCCACTCTGCCCCCACCCTCTGGAACTCCATCCCGCAGTCCCTCCATCTCGCCTCCTCCCTTGCCACCTTCAAGATCCATCTCAAGATACTTCTCTTTGACCGTGCTTTCGATCTCGCTGCTTCCCCGCCTGCCCTCCACCTCTCCCCCACCCTGACTCCCAGCTCAGGTCCGTAACTCTGTCTAACCAGAGTCTTGGGATGTCCTCCTGATGTGAAAGGAACTATACAAACATAATTTTGTTGTTGTTGTTGTTGCCTTTCTGCAACTCTTTGATAAGACAAGTTGCCCTTGGTCAATGCTATTACTGGTAGGTTGACAGGAATAGCCTCGGGATAATTCATACTTTGTTCCTCTTTTTCTCCCTCGGGGTTGGAGAGGAGGGGAAAGATCATTTAAATCTTTCCAAATGAGAACCCAAACTACTTCTGAATATGACTTAGCATAACCATATGATTGGACAGCTTCTTAGAATTCTTTTAACATTTCTGATATTTGTAATTTCAAAGTGAAGTAGTGCATTTCCAAGCTAGTTAAAGCTGGGAAGCAATTGTATCAACTTTCCAAAAACTGACAGAGAGCCACCAACCTTGACTGTTATTTCAGTAACTTAAGTCAATTTGGATAATTTGGACAAATCTTCAAGTAAGAAACTATTGTATGCTATTACAAACCACCCATGACCATGGTTTTCCTGATATTTTTTCTCTTAAGTTTCTCTCTTTCCATTTCTAATAGTATGCTTACTTTTTCTGTTTACTGGGGTATGGTCACTACTGGCATCATCACCAAGTTACCATTACACATGTCTGGACCAAATGCAGTGGTGGGGGGGAGCCATTGGCTGAGCAAATTATTCACTGAGGTCCATTGTAGATCAGGTAACTCAGCACAGGTTGGGAAATGAAGCTGCAATTTATGTGGTCTATTTGACTTGGTGCATATTCTGGCTTTTTATGAGTTATACTAAAATTTTACTGATTATACTGCAGTAATAAATATTAAACTACTGAATTGAGTTGTGAAGGGGAGTATTTCATAAGGTTTATTGGCTAGGTTTAATTTTCAAAACAAAATTTTTAAAATCTAATCACTCAAAAAGTAATTTATTTCAAACCTATTAAGGAATTGCTGAACTCAATGCGGAGGAGACACAGTACATGAAGTGGGCCAGAGGTAGCAGAGTGTGAACAAGTAGGGCCGCAGGAGATCAGTAAGTTTAAATGGAGGCGAGAGAATTCTTACAGCAAAATAGGAAAGTGATAGCGTTCCTATAGAAAAGTGGAATTTCTGGGAGCTTCAGGGAGGTTTATTATAATCCTAACAAAGTGAATATCTGCTTCATGCAAAATAGAAACCTTTATTGCACACCAACTTTCTTAATTTCAGAGCTGTGATGTCCATTTGATTGATTGTTCAAAGTGGACTTGCTTATGTGGGATGCTTAAATGATTTTTTGCTAGAAATATCCCCAGAAATATATTGATCTTTCTTCCTGCATTAGTCTCCATAAATTAATCATAGCATAGACCAGACTTTTCAATAAATCCTATTTTAAGTTTCAAATATTGTTACCAGTTTTGATCTGGCTTAAATGCACCTTCTTTAATATTAAAATAAAATGGTTTATAGACTGAATGAAAGAATGCTGTACACGTGCAGTATTGCTGCATATTTGACCTTGAACAAAGCATTGGAAGGTAAAATGGCAGGTTTATAGGTGTGAATATTTTTCTCTGATAGTCATAATGGTTTTGCTTGTAGAACAAATCTTCTGTTAGTCACCTTATACAAAACCAAAAACATTAGCTTGAGCTTAAAATGTTGTAACTGTTTTTTGAAGGATCTTTCGTGGCCTGGACTTCTAGGAGGCAATTTGTTCAGCCGACCACGAGCCACCATTCTTGTGACTGTGAGGGGAGTAGAAGAGATTGTTCTGCCCAAGAATGGAATCTCGTACCTTGTTGAAAATGTAAGTGATCTTCAGCATTTTGTGGTGGGTGGGGAAGGGGTGATATCGTATTACTGTTCAACATTAGTGAATAGAATGAATATTTTCCAACAAAACTTGCACATAGGTGGTATAATTCTACAGCCTCATAAATTAGCCCGGAAATATTAATCTGAATACATGTTCTAGTTTCATTCAATGATTTTGTTGAGAAAAAATGCGTGAGATGTTTACTGATGAGCAAGTGTTTATATTATGCTATTGAGCGAAGCCAAAATTTATGGTTAGAAAATTTTCTGATACAGCAGTGGTACTTAATAGTTTGCATGGCTTTGAAGAAAAANTAATCTTGTCTGCATCAACCTGAATCAATACCATCTCATTCCAATAACTTTCAAGTTTTTAAGTATCATAGCCACTTACTTTCCTAACTGTTGTTATAGAGTCTTAAACAACCACACGTGCCAATGGTTTAATGCAGATTGAATCTTGTTTGTACAAATTTTGCAATTCTAAAATATCTGTTGGACCGTGAAAGGAGGTTTACACGCAGTTGTTGGTTACTTGCACACAATAACGATTCAGTTATACAGAGACTTCCTGAAAGTCTTTTATCTTGCCTATGAGGTTACTGAGAATATGTTAGTATAACAAATGAACACTTACCACATCCAAGTTTTGTGGTGGGGGGGAGCAACAATGCAAAAAAGGAACCATTAGCACTAGACCAACATAAGGAAGCAACTGGATTCTGACCAGGTTTGTTTCTGCATTGGACAGGGATATTGTTCTCCTTGACTCTGTACCCCTGGAAGATAGTGGAAACTGGTAAAAGAAGTTGAATTAAACATGATTTTTAAAGACCGAAGAGGACATACAAATGTAGAGTTATTTGGAGAATCTAACCATTTAAAATAAAACACAGAAGTCCATTTGTGCTACATGTTTTGTTGCATGTTCTATAAGCTTTATCTACTTGTCCTCTGTGCATTATATTTGAAATATCAACCCAGTTGCTAATTCCAATTCCTAATTCCGATAAAGCAGGAACAGTATCACAATTACAATATTGGGAATTATTTTATAGTTCAGTTTCCTGACTTTCAGCCTGGCTTTAAGTACATTAATAACGTATATTTGGCATGGGATTCAAAATAAGGTTCAGGAGTAATATGTCTTTCTGATTAGCTGTTGCTCTAGATATTTCTCTCCAGTCAATAACATTTGCAGTAAAAGACTAATAGTTTAGGGGAATGAAAGATGAAAAACGTTCCTCAGATTTGTTTTTGTGTGTCTATAAAGTTGTGACATAATGTAGAAAATCAATTCATCCAATAAATGAACAGCTTCAAAAATGATTTAACTTATTTGCTTTATTGTAGCCAGTCCCTTTCACCTTGGATAGTATTTCAAATTCTATCCACTCCTTGTTTTCGGAGGAAACTTCAGTGGTTCTGCAGTTGGCTCCCAGTGAGGAGGTGAGTCTAAATAGGAATAAATGTGTTTCACTTTCTAAGAACTATAATCTGCATGTGCAGATGTTTGAAAGTTCTGGTCTTGATCTTTAAATATGTTGATGCAGGAATTCCAGTATTCCATCTGGATTTTTATCTAGTTTTCTTCCAATTGCTAAAGGCAGTGAAACAAATGTCCTGCACAAAAGTAGACCTTTCTGGTGGCACTGCATGTTTTTCTAAATTGCCACTTTTCTAAATCCCCATTTTGACTCTTGAAGAAGAGTGTACTTCCATGGATATTTGCAAAGCCTTATCATTGGCAACGAGACCTTGGTAAAGTTTTCATTCATGTGGGAGTCCAGATGTGGTGAATAGGTCAAGGTATAAGGTACTGCAGTAAAGCCTGTTCTTGTCCACCTACATATTCTAAGCATGTGTTACTGGATCGTGATCAGGAGGTGAAACCACGGCTGTTGGATTTCTCTCACCCCCACTCCCCTCCCTTAACCCAGGGCCAATTTTCATACACTTGCTGCCGTTTGTTTAATTTGTTTAAAGTTGTGACTGTTTTGCAACTTGTGAACTCTTTGCAGAGGTTGTACATGGTGGGGAAAGCAAATGCCATTTTTGAGGATCTCCCTGTAACTTTGCGACAGATGAGGAATCGCTTGTTCCAAGATGACTCTGTGCTGAGCTTCCTTCCTCCTAATTCCCTGAACAAAAATAATGAGGTATGAGGAACTACTGTCATGTTATTTTCCGGGTGGACTTTCTGCAAAGTGTCTTGGTGATTATAGATTTGTTTAAAATTGCTACAGATTAGCAGCATTAAAGAAGACTTTGACCAAAATACTGAGGCTGAAACATATTGTACCAAACATTTAGATTGAAATAATTGCAAAGTTTATATTTTGAGTTTTAACCTACATAGGTAAATATTCAGTAAGTATTTGACACTGATTTGTCCCTGAGGGACAATGTTAATTGCTGTTGTACCCTTGATTATTTATTTTTATCATTTATTACCTGTGTATCAAAGCTTAACAGGAATTCACACGTACACGGTTGTATTGCTTTACTATCCTCATAGGCGTCAGCCTAACACAGTTGATAGCATTCTTTCCTTTGAGTCAGAAAAATAATAATTTTGGTCATTGAATCCATGGCTGTTTGTGGGACACTGCTGTGCGCAATTGGCTGCCGTGTTTCACCCACCATATATAAAGTCAATTTACTTTACACTATTCTGTGAAGCACTTCGAGATGTCTCGAAGACATAATAATATATCAAATGCAAGGATTATTATTAATAGAAAGTTGTGGGTTCAAGCACCACATTGAGACTGAGCTCATAATCTGACACCTCAGTGTAATGTTGAAGGAATACTGTTTGTCAAAAGTGCCTTACTTCAGATAAGACGTTAAATTGAGGACCTGTCCTGCAAATTGGCTTCTGCATTCGCCTACAATGGTCATTATATTTTGCTGTAAATCCCATGAACAACAACAAATGACATTTGCATTTCAACAACTTGATAAGGCACTATATCAAATGCAAGAATTATTATATCATTGTTTAACAGCAAGTTTAATTCAAGTACCTTGTTCCGAGATGTTGGGTCAATTTAACAGTAAATTGACATGGACATCCTACCTCTGCACTTCCCCCTCCCCCCCCCCCCCCCGCCCAAGGTATAAGTTAGCAGATACCAGCTTTTTGGCAAACCCCAAAAATGTCACAACCTATCTGCTTTCCAGCTTCTGAATTCTTCAACTATGCTGATGGACACATGTTAAATTTCTCCTGATTGAAAACATGTTGCAATGTAAATGGTGCTACATAACTGCTTGTGATGGTTTGTGAAGCCTTCTTCTGATGGAGATTATAAAAGAATAATCCTTGCCTTTGATATTGGCTAATGGCAAACCTTTGGAGTCTTCCTATAAACCTCACTTTGGGAATGAATTAGGTGACATTTGTTCTACTAAGGCAACAGATTGTGTCTCAGGGATCAAAGCAGATCTAGAACCAAATTTCTTTTTTAATCTAGTGATTTCACAGTACTGTACAGATAATTTGCACAGATTTCAAGATCCTCTTATTAGCTTTCAAATCCCTTCATCCCCTTGCACCTCCCTACCTATTTGATCTGCTTACTCCCCCACCCGTTATCTCCGCTCAACTGGCTCCAGCCTCCTATTTGTCCCTCGTCCCCTCCACTCCATAATCGGTGATTGTCCCTTCAGTCACTACACCTAGAACTCTCTCCCTCAATCCCTCCGCCTTGCCTGCCCCCTCCCTCCCCACTTTCAAATCCTGTCTAAAAAAACTTTCTTTTTAATCATGCTTATAGTCACTTCCCTCTACCCCTGGCTCAGGGTCAGACTCTGCCACTGTTAAGTGCTCTGCGATGCTACCCTGTGTGAAGGGCTATATAAATGCATGTTGTTGTAGTTTACAGGTCAACCGCCTCAAAAGTCATATGTATTGCAGTTTGTTTCACAAAGGTTCTGAAGGATATTTCTTTTGTTTTTAGGTTGACTTGCTATTCCTTTCAGAGCTGCAAGTTCTTCATGATATTTCTGCATTGGTAAGCTTATTTTATTAAATGTATTAAAAATAGACTAGTGGTAGTTCCTTATTCTCACACCCTTTTTGATGTACATTAACAAGTCACTTTTTTAATTGCTGTCATTGTTATTGCTTCAATCGACTTAGCTCCACATATACAGTCGTATACTCTATACTCAGTATTCTTTCAAAAGCACCTAATCGTGGAGTTCTGTAGCTCAGTGGCTAGAGCACTCACCTTGCAAGCGAGACACCTGGGTTCAATTCCAGGCAGGGCGAAACCTTGGGCAAGTTTCCTAACTCCACACACCTAATAATAATCCCTCTTAAAAAAAATAGTAAATTGGTCATTTTTAATCCATCACTGTTTGTGGGACACTGTGCGCAATTGGCTGCCGCGTTTCACCCACAAATATATGGTCAATTCACTTTAAAATATATGCTGTGAAGCGCTTTGAGACATCTAGAGGACATGGAAAGCGCTAAATCAAATGCAAGGATTATTATTATTTGTGCAACAATCTTTTGGATTTTTTGAAGTTAAAATAGATAGCACCACAATGTTACAGGGGTGGTGAGTTGCAGTTCCCCTAGACAAACAGTTTTAGAACTATTTGAGAGACTTAGATGCCAGAGCAGGGGTAGGCTACTAATGGCAGGTTACCTGGGCCTCTTCATGACTGGATCTCCTGTGCAGTCACCCGCACTATAATTGAAGAAGAGGGCATATATTTGTTAGAACTTTATTATGGCCAACTGCAGGGAGACCCTTCTGAGTGAACTATTTTCCATTGTCAGTTGACCCAGGCAAAAAGCATGCACAGAAGCAAAGCCAGTTTGGGAGCACCATTTTCCAAATTAAAGGATGCGGTGGTAAAAGCACCACCTGCTGTCCACTATAATCTGAGCCAAACAGGTGTATAGCACTCCAAACATGTTTTTTTTTAAAAAGTATGTCGTAACATGTAGCACACAAAACGTGTCACACATACAAACTAAACTAAGAATTAAAACAGGATGACATGGCTTTCTGGGAAGAGAGAAGTTCTGATTTTAAAGCAGAAGTGGAACATTGCAAACATAATAGGACACTGAACTAGATGAGAAGCTAAGCCTTTTTCACCCAGGACCAAATTTGAGGTGGACTGTTTTTTTTAATGTAACTACAGTGGTGATATATTGTGTTCTGACTTATATTGAAAAGTCACTCTGCCTGCTGGGAACTAGTCTTTATTTATTAAAAAACACTTAAGTGCTTGGATTAATTGGTTTATGTCCTGGTAGCCTGAATGCTTAACATTCTGGATAATGTGTTTTAAGGTATCCTACAAAGGTATTTTCGCCATCCTGGAAGTAGCTGTTTGTCTAAAGAGTGACAAGGAAACTCTTGATGCTTTGTACACTGCTGCTGGAAGGTGTTACCTGGTGTGGTGTTTATAGGTACACATTTGTATGTTTAGGATTCGGTGGCGACTCTAGTTGGATGTATTGTGCTCTGGGTGGTGACGTCATCATTTAAGCAGAATAGAGTGTGTTTCCTGACTATGATTTAAGAGGTCACGTTAATGCATTTTATGTGCAAGCTGTGTTGATCACCATATCACTCAGGAAGGAATTTCTAATGTTGTCTATGTCTCCAGCAAGAGCTTAGACAGTTTGTTAGCTGTCTGAAGATCAAGGGGGCAGATAGAGGAATGATAAGCTTCTCCTGCTGGCTCAATTATGATATTTTTGTTGAAGAATGAGTGGAGCTGAGTCAACTTTGTAGTGTACTATGTAAGCTGAACGAAACAGCACTCCAAATATGCTATTTTTTTTAAAAAGTATGCCATAACATGTAGCATATTAAATGTATGCTTTATCAGTTTATAGCTGTGTTCAAGTTAATGTAATGGAAAATGAGGAACAATAACTATTTATTTGCAAATTATTTCCTCAGCTGTCTCGACACAAGCATTTGGCAAAAGACCATTCACCTGATCTTTATTCACTAGAGCTAACGGGTCTGGAAGAGATTTTAAAACATTATGGGCAGGACTCCCAGCAATTCCGTGATGCTGCCCAAATCCTTGCAAATGTCATCCAGAAGGTAAGCCTCTTATCACATAAATTTACATGGCAGTAATCAATTTGTATATTAGCCTTTCAACTGTTGCTCAGGATTTCTCAGTATTCAGTTAGATGTTTAGGCTTTCACTTGGCTGCAGGTTCAGAATAGTTAAATCATTTGAATTTTGGAGTACAGACGTGCTTTTTCCACTAAAATTTTTTAAATTGGGCAAGGAGTAGTATAGCGGAACAGGAGGAATTATTCCAATTTGCACCAAAATCTGCTAGTTTTTGCAAAATAATTGTACTGTTCCATATAAAGTGAGTGTTAAAGTAATTGCAGTTATATTTATTAGTTGGAAAAATATTTTTCTTCATAGTGAGATGAGAGTATTTTCCTTTTGGGTGCAATTCAATTAAATCACTCCTAAAGTCGGAATTAGAAACTTGTGTTCAAATTTCTATTCTGTAAGCAAAACATTTGAATTCTTGTGAGAATAAAATACAACTAAGTTGGTTTGGTTTCTTAAAATTAGTAGCTACTTGAGAGTTATAAAAATGGGATTACAAAATACACCATCTACACTTTGGTAAATCCTGGTAAGTACTTTTGAGAGGACTTTCCAACGATAAAGACACTCCATCAAATGCAAGGATTTTATAAAATTTAAGCTGAATGGAAAATATACCTTGCTCAGTGGCCAATTTCACGAGTGAGCTCAGACAGTGAGAATTGACAGTTTATGTGAAGCCGGGAGTTAGGTAGGAGGTAGGGACATGAGGAGAGGGGCTATACAGCTATCTCAGCTGAAGTCTATGTACCTCAATAACTCTGACCATTGGCTTCACCGCCTGATTGGGATAACTTCAGAAATCGTTTTCTTTTAAGAAAGGTAGGCATTTTTGTGTGAAATCTTTAAAAATTTCAATGGGCTTAAATGTTGGTTTATGAATATTCCCTTTTCGGTAACCTGCATATGTTTAAGTTCAATTGTGCAAAGTAGATTTTATGCAATTTGTAGAAATGCAGTAAAAATTCAGATTTGGAAATTCTGGTGCGCAAGATTTGAAACTCCTGTACAACACTTTCTATTTCAGTTTGCAGATGAGATGTTCAGCATTTATAATGGAAATGCGTTAATAGACCTGCTGACAGTGAAGACATTTGATGTTCCTCTTATGCGAAAGACTCGATCTATCTTGGAATCTACATCCATAGTAAGTATAATATGGAAATAATGGTTTTTCAGTAGTACTGCCATAATTCAACAGCATGCAAACATTACCTTGTTTAATTGACAAATGTTAACACTTTTTTTATATTAATCATGGCTGAAGTTTCAACAAAGGGGCCTTTGAATACAAAATTAAATGGGCTATAAACCAAGCTAAAATATATTAATCCTTTTGACAGCTTGACCTATATTTTTTGTAAATTAAAGTAAAGATGTTGGCCAATGCAAAGCTAATTGAATATTGCTAACAATTCCTTTCTTTGTAGAGCAACCCAGGCAGTCCATACGGCTTCGCCTATCAGTACAACTATAACTATGCTGTTGTCTTCAACATTGTCCTGTGGTTAATGATAGCCCTAGCCTTAGCTGTGATCGTTATTTCCTATAACCTGTGGAACATGGATCCTGGCTATGACAGCATTATCTATAGAATGACCAGCCAGCGAATTAAAATGGAATAAACTTTCTTTGTCAAAACCAACCTAAAGGAGGGAATCACTGAGGATACAAACTGATGGGTTAGGAAAGTTAAATATTGATTTCTGACCTTTGTTCTGTTTCTTGCTAAGGCAGTATTCCAACATTGGAGGGGAGGGGGGTAATGTGGGGATGTGAAACATAATTTTTCAATGTAAATTTAAATATCCATCACCTCTGCACTTATATCTAAGATATATTTGTGTAGATATATTTGCAGAAATATCTGGCTGTCACAGTAGCTATTATCAACAAATATGGGATACAGTGGCTACTTAATCATGGAAAACTTCTACATGATCTCTCAAATTGTATTATATTTTAAATACGATGCAATAGTGGGAGGGGAAAGAAGGAAATTACTTGATGATGAACAATTAATTATTGCTGATGAAACTTGAGCAGTGCTGACAAATTAATGTCCTCAAGATTTTAGTTGTCTCTAAAGATCCTTCAACCCAAGGAAAAAATCTTGCTAATTTTAGTTAAATAATTTCTTATTCTAAATCCAATCTGCACCAACATCAAATGTTTACAAAGTAGTCCAATGCTATTGCTGAACAACTGTAACACAAATAAGTATAATGTGCATTCTTCACCCGGTGCTGGTTTACCAAACTGGCCTCAGCTCAACTTCCATCATCAATATAATGAGTATTCCGGGGAAGAGTTTGTATTGAAATTGATGGAAGAGAATGACTTCACATGAGCATTTCATTGGGTTATAGTATCGCAACTCCTTTCTCTATTATTCTGCAATTAAATTGGTTCTGTCTGTATATATTAGGAATATTACTGCTTGAATGACTTGCCACTCTATTCAGTACTGTTGGATTCAGTTTGTCATTTTATGTTGAAATAGTGACCAGATCAGTGATAGATATTAGCTTCAATGAAAAATGCACTGTGATATGAATTAACTTGATTTTGTGAAAATTATTCTTAAATGATTCGACTTCTCCATTGCTTTCATGTTTAAAGTGAATGTGGTGTAAAGATGTAAATTACTATGTGGACTGTTGAATGGCAGTCCTATTAAAGACAATCTGTATGTTCATTTGCAACTGTTAAACCTGTCTCTTAGTGAAGTGAGTTCGGTACATAAAGGTAGAGAATAGAAATGGATCTTTGTATTTATGTGAAAGCCTATGTGTTACTTGTGTTCTGTGTAAATGTTATTAATAAAGGATGACTGTATACAGTTATGTCATTTGTAGTTTAATAGGCTGAATGAGCATTGAGGTACAGGTTGAAAAATTGAAAACCTCAACCAGAGATCTGCTCCCAGATTGGGGCTGTAATCCTGGGAATCCCAATCCTGGAATCTATAAGAGAGAATCCTGGGATTTGAGTCCTAATTAAAAAAATAAGTTACTTTCTATCCATCACTGTTTTCTGTCTCTTATCTGCCCACCCAAACACACCTCTTAAGTAATTTCTTTCCATTAGTATTATGTTCATCTGTTTTGCTGTCACTGTTTCATTTCTCACTTTCTGTCAGTCTCTCTCCTGGATATTACTGTCTCTCTCTGTATTTAACATTCTTTCTCCGTCTCTCCCCCCACCATATGTAACAATGAACTTGTTCATTTTCTCTGTGGATGTATCAATCTCTGTCACCTTCCATTTGTGCCACTGACTATCTTAGTCCTGTGTTATGTCTCCCTTTTCTCTCCCTCTATATTATATGCTGTGTATGTGTCACTGATTTTTCTGTCACTTTCTGTATGTGTTATTTCCTCTTGTGAAATCTGCCCATTGCTAACCCCCCCTCCCTGTCTTGGTCAGTGCCTCATCAGGCAGCTGTGTTGCTGAAGTAGGCGGGGAAGGAGGGAAATGAGTCAATGACTGGCTCGGAGGGAGGTTGCTGTGCAGTGCTGTCTTCCCTGGCATTTTTCTGAAGCAGGATTTAGCACTGCGGAATCCTGGGATTTGGGGCATTAAAATCCTGGAATGCAGAAAAAGCAACCGGGATTGCAATAGCTACTCCCAGGTGACATTCTGCAGCTAGGAAATAGAGTAGTTGGGGATGATTTTTCGGTTATTTCTCTCCTCCCCCCTCCCCAACTCCACTCATTTGACATTAGGAACTCATAGTATGAGAACCATGAATGTGTTTTGCATTGGATCTCCAATGCCATTATTTTGAATGTCATTAATCTGAATCAAATATTGGATACTTTACATTTTTTAAAAATGTTCAAAGCATTCTTTGTTCAAATTCACAAATTAATTTCAGATATTGTTTAATAATTTTTTTTGTGATTTGAATATCAAAGTAAAAAGTGCAGTAAATCTTCAATACTCTTCAGTGGGGAGGGGTAATGAACAAATAATTTAGTGTCCTGCACATAGAATTATTTCCTCAACACCTGCATCCAGATAATTGATAATATTGAGAGAACAAGAGAGGGCCTAACACTGATCCCTGAGGCACACCACAAACTACTCTCTGCCAATCTGAAAAAAATCCCTTAATTCCCACTCTGTGCCACCTGTTCTTCAACATTGGTCTATCAGTTTGTTAATTTGCCATCTATTGCGTGTGCTTTAATTTTGGCTATGAGTCTTCTGTACAGCACTTCATCAAACACCTTCTTAAAATCCAAACCAATAACTACTGCACCTCTTTGTCTACATTTTAGACATCTCTCCAAAGAATTCAATCAAATTAGTGGATACAATCTTTCTACATTCATTATGACCTTGAACATCTTCTCTACAACTGAACTCTGGGTCTGGCTCTTTTATTAAAGTGATATTCCCACTCTACAAGCCTCTGGGGACAACCCTATATTTACGGATGTTTGATTTTTCAGCTAGAATTGCCAGATTACCTTCACAAAGTTTTGATTATCTTTGCACTGACAAACTTCTCCAAGGCAATATCTACCAGTTAGCCAAAGCACTTGTGTGTAGAAATGAAGATACACCTGGAGAATTCAGTCCTACTCATTGAACCATTGAGTGAAGAAGATTATTCCAAAATTGCATTTATGATAATATTCCTTTCGATTTAACTTTTTTACCCTATTTTCAAAACTATGCACTTCACTTTTTCATTTTAAAATTGAAATTCAACAAAATGAATAAACAATGTTGCTTGTTAGATTTAATTATAGTTATGCACAAGGGAGAGCAATGCAAATAATGAGTTCTAAGGTCAACATATCAACAACAGTAAAAGTGCTTCAAAATCCTGCAAGACCGATACAGTACTGAGAAGTGAAATGGAGCCTTGGGAAGAAAGTGGACAAATGAAAGTGGCTGAAGAGAAAGCCCTGAGTTCAGGATAAAGGAACTTGACGAGAAGCTAGGGTTTACAGCACCTCACTGAGAAAGCGCAAAAGATGTTCCCACAGTCAAATCTCCCTAAATTATCTCTGGAGATCCCCAGTATCACTTCAAGCTGAGAAAGTCTTACTGAATGTTTAACTATTGTCCTTCTATCTCAAACACTAATTTTTCTTGCTGCCCTTTCCCTCTCTCCTGAAAGAAATGCACCAAATTTGCGTTAAAATTCACGAACCATCGAATAGAGAATTTACAAGCCAGCAAAATCTGATAAAAGTCCAACAAGGGAAACAGTGGTGAAGTTTTTTGTTGGACTTTGTCAGCTTAGAATTCATTGCCCTTGTATTTCAAAATCGATATTTGAAAACAAGAAGGCATAATTAACTCAACAAATCCAGTTTGTAAAGAAAGACTGTATTGCAAATTAAACAGCAATGTTTCATTTCTATTTGTTCACTTCTCAAAATCTTTGGGAGCTATATTAGATTTGTGTTTTATTTTTAATGGAGACTAATTCTAGTTTTAATAAAAAGTGAGTGAACGACTTACACATGGGATAAATCATATCTGAGATTGCATGCTAATTTGCTGCTAGCCACACAGCAGTAAGGAAAGAGTTAAATCAGCCAAGTGTTTCTGAACAGGCTGTGGTGTGCAGCCAATCTGATTACTCGCATCGTTGCTTGCTGGCTGCTCGCTGTGTAATTTTTGTTTCATGCCAGAACTGACTACAACAAGAGCAGACAGCAAAGACATGAAGCTGCAGTATACATGGGATTTGTGTAACGTCTCTTGAACTCCTGCTAATTAACCTGACTGCTATATTGGCTGTCTGCGCAGCACTATAGTCAATATCACTGTAACACTAATTTTGCTAACTCTGCTAATTCTAGCCATGGTGTTCCAGAAATAAATAAAAAGGAAAACGATGATATTATCAAAAACAATTTCCAATGTCTGCCCAAACTACACCAATAAAAGGAAAAGGCCCCCAAATCAAAAAAACACAAGATTTTTCAGTACAATTCAGTATTATACTTAGAATTTTAGTTTCGCATAGTTTTAGTTGTTTACTGCAATTATTGTTATTGTTGCATTTATATTTGACAATGTTTGCCCCAAATCCTATAGGTAACAGCCAAATATTTTACTGCTTTATTTGGAAATAGCTTAAACGTTAAGCTGCCTGTTTGGGTGATCCAAGCAAAATACCTACAATGTGATTTCTTCGGCCCCATTAACATACACTATGCAGTCTTCACGGATCCTATTGCAGTTCCGTACTACCAAGTTGGCCGTGCCAAGACAAAGCTGAAAAGCAAAATGAGGGACTACAAAGAAAAGAATAATAAAACAAAGGTAACAAATAGAGATGAACAGAAAACTAATCAAAAGAAAAAGAAAACAAAATGCAGGAGCAATTGCCCGTTTTTATTTTGAAAAAATGAGTGAACAATTTACACATGGGAATAAATCATATCCTAGATTTCATATTAATAAGTCTTACTTTCTAAAGATCATGTTTCAAAAGTAATTTTTTGCCCATTCTTACCTGAGCGAGATTGAATTTGCAGGTTACTCACTCATGGATCTACTTCCTTAACCTCCTAGCTTAAGCCAACTACAGAATTAAGGACCAGGAGTGAAAGGTAAAGGTCAGCATTGCTTTTAACAAACTACAGCTGTGAGGTCTGATCAATACTGCAAAAAATGTGGAAAAAAATCCTCAAAATAGCATTGACTAAATGAACAGTTTATTGGTAATGCAAGATTTTTACTGGGGGAAAAATGCTTTTTTTTTTGATCATTCTGCTTTGTGGCCGAGGCACATTGATGAGGTGTTGAAGAAATGCTGTCTCCAAAGTCAATTTATTTGTTTCTGAAAGCGGTCTGACAGTTCTTCAAACAAAACAAAGGAAACCAACTTGGCCACTATTTAGCACTGAAATACATGCAAAACGGTGGTATCTGCTATGTCCTACTAAACGCACCGCCTCTCGTCTCAGCGTGCGCTTCTTGGCTGCTGGCCCCGACCCGAGCTGGCCCTCCCTTACAATATCCCCCCTCCCTGCAACTCTCCTGCTCTGTCCTGCTCTCTCTATACCCCCCACCTCCTATCCCTGCTTGACGGCCCCCCCACTGCCTCCCTCTGCTCCATCCTGGGAATCCTCTGCCGGGTTCATCACGGCATTCGGCATTGGCTGTCTAGCAGCAGCCACATTGACTGCCCCATTCCCCACCATCGCCATAAGCCACCCTGGACCCTGACCCCGGGGGCTAACCTCTCCTCCCTCACCTGCATCCCCAACCTCCCCCCAACCAACCCACTACCCCCTCCCATCCCACACATCCCCCTGCAAACTGTCCACTCCGCATTGGCCTTCAAAACATCCGCTCCATCTCCAACAAGACCCTGGCCATCAATTAACTCATCCTCGATGAGAACTTTGACATTATGGCACTCACAGAAACCTGGGTCACCCCAGATGACACCTTCCCCCTCACTGAGGCCACACCATCCGGCTACACCTCCCATGCCCAACCATCGTGGCAGTGCTGTGGCCCTCATATCCAGGCCGTCACTTGCCCTATCCCCCTACTCCACCGGCTCGTTCCCCTCCTTCGAACACTTTACCCTCTGCCATCCCTCCCACCTCTCTCTGAAAATTCTCTTACTTTACCGTCCCCCAAAATCCTCTCCCACCTTCATCTCTGACATCTCCACCCTCCTTGCTTCCCTCTGGCTCTGCTCTGACCACCTCATCATCCTAGGCGACTTCAATCTCCACTTCAGCCCCTCCTGCTCCACCTCCTCAGACTTCTCCTTTCCTCTCTCAACCTCTCCCTCCACAACCACTCTACTACCCAAGTTCACGGCCACCAGCTCGATCTGGTGATCACCCAGGGCCTC